AAAAGAATCGCGTCAAAGTTCAGGAAATTCGAATCGTGAAAGGGTGAGATCAAGAAGAACCTTGTAAAAATGAGACAATTTCGTGTAGAAAAATGGGCATTCCACTTTCAGGGGGTCCAAAAAGAGCCCACGGAAGTTGATCTTTATCAGTCGGGCCGCCAGGGGTTGGTAAGATAATCTATAGAAACGACGCAGTTGTTGAAAAAGGCTCTGAGTTGGGAGTTGGAACAGCCGTCTCCTCCATTTTTCAAGGAGTTCTGCAGAAATAAATCTGTATCTGCAAAATCCTCGCAGTCGAATCGCTCGAGTTTTCGATCAGCAAATCGAATAAGAGGTAGAACAAAATGGGAGTAGCTGCGAAAATCGCACCGTCAATGCTATCCTCCGATTTTGCCAATTTAGCTTCGGAGGCCGATCGAATGCTTAAACTTGGCGCGGATTGGCTTCACATGGATATTATGGTACACACACACACACTCTCTCTCTCTCTCTCTCTGTTTCCTTTTTCACAGATTGTTATTTCTCTTCAGACTTCAGTTATAGTTTGGTGAAATACTTTTTGTTTGTTGCTCCCATTTTGTTCATTTTAATCCTAATTTTTATCTTCCGAGTCTGAGTTCCTACCATTCAGTTCTAATTTACTTTAATTGGTTCGGAATCTACTTGGCTTTAATGGTTTGAATCATATGATTTGTCTATGCTTTTCTGGGTCTTAAAACAATATTATATCAACACTATTTTAGAACCTTATTCCTAGTTCTAGTGGAAGGTATTCCATGGATTCTTTCAAGTATATTAACCCATTTACGACGACTGCATTTTTACCATCACTATCATTCCCTAATGTGGACTTTAAAGGATGAAGATTTTTGATCTTGTAGAAGTAATATGCCTTTCTCATGTATACTTGTACTCGTTAATTGGTTGATGAGAGTGTAGAGAAAGGAGCATGGAGGTGCACAATCAAACTAGTGATCTTATAATGACATGCTTACGAAGACGGGGTAGTGTAAAATTCTTCTCAAGTTGACGTGGGTCGTACAAACTGCAATTTCTGTGCACATTATGCTGATAAATTTATATGCCATCACATCTGATGTATCTTGTTGCTTTATTTGCAGGATGGGTAGGTTGATGCTTTGCTCATATCATACTCCTGTTGCCCTGCAATGTGCTTCATGTGAATTGGTTTGATTACTGTGGTTAATCTAACACCCGATCACTTGTTAAAAATAGGATTAAATTTTACCTGGAAATAACTTGACCTTGATCTTTTTGGTGTTGATTGCTTTTGGCATCAACTTTCTATCGAAATGTCACTGCTTATTTATCTGTAAATATTTGCTGAAGAAACTTGAGAAGCATCTAGTTTTTTAAAAGGCCTCAAACAGCGCGTGCTTAGGCATTGGTGAGATGCCTTGCCTTGTTGAGCGTGGACTTCTTGCTAAAATGCGATGCTTTTACTAGGGTCAATTTAAATTTTTAGAAAAGGGTTAACTTGAACAAAAGTCGTCTTGTACTACCTTGATAGGGATTTAAAAACTATTTTGATTGCCTTTAAGATCACAATGGACTTTTGTCTCACGTAATCAGAAGTCCTGTGTAACACTGAAAGATTCAATCAAGGTCTTCTTAGGGCATGCCTTTTCCATTCATTTTACATTATCACTTTTATAAGAGTTAAATGTATATTTTTATCTTAAAGTTTCCCATTTGGCACTATATATTGTTGACTTTGGTAATCTATTATGATATGTAATGTACGGTATCTCATAATGTGCTTCTCTTCATGGAGATTAAAGGGTGCTTCTGTTGAAACTGGCATGGTGGCAGGGCTGTGAATCAGAAAAGTCAAAACTAATTAACTATTGTTAAAAAATATGAAGGCTATAGGATTTGATGTCTCGTGCCACGTTATCAACTGTAATTTTGGGAAGGATCAATGTCATTTTCTTGGTGGAACTGCTAATCTAATATTCTGCAGAAGATCTAGATGGGTCTACATTTATTTTTTGATGTAGTGTTTTATTTTGTATCAGTAATCTGTTGAACCTTTCTACTTCAGTTTAAGATTAACGACCATTAATTATCAAGAAAGTCTCAAAGTTATTTATTATTAATTTTTAAATACACCAATATGGTGTCCCCATGAGAATTTATTCATGATCATTTGGTTGAATTCACCCTGTAGCAGGAATATGCATTATTTCTTGGTGGTGTGATTTGTGCATGATCTGGATTACACAATTTTGGCTCGCTTTTCTCACTCTTAAAGTTTACATTGGGTTTATTTCCTGTCCCTAGCTAGCAAAGTGATTATTTTGTTGTCTATGCATTTACCACAGGCATTTTGTTCCAAATCTGACAATTGGTGCTCCAGTCATCGAGAGTTTGAGAAAACACACGAAGTAATATCATTGCTTATTCAGTTTCATGAATTTGATCTGAACTCCTTTTTTGCTAGTCAATTGTTAGAAGTTGGTGACATTACCATGACTTATTGAAGAATTATTTCCTTGTCATGCAGGGCATATCTAGATTGCCACCTTATGGTTACGAATCCACTTGATTACGTTGAACCCATGGCAAAAGCTGGTGCATCAGGTTTTACATTTCATGTTGAAGTATCCAAAGGTACATTTTGTTTTTGGACTTAAGATTTGTTCTAGTTCTATTACACAAAAATTTTCACTTTTTCTTTCCCTCTTTTCTCTTGTAGACAATTGGCAACAACTAATCCAAGAAATTAAGTCAAAGGGCATGAAGTCTGGGGTGGCGCTAAAACCTAAAACACCCATTGAAGAAGTTTATCCTCTGGTATGCAATTGATTTTCTAATTTACTCTCGATTTCATATCTTTCATTTACGTAAATGTTATATTTCAATGATGGGTTGTAAGATCCTATTCATCTGCATAACAAGGAAAGTGTTAATGGCTTTGTGCAAATGCTGCTACACCAAACTTTTGATCCTTGTTAATCGTTATTTCTTCAATCTTCAGGTAGAAAGTGACAATCCTGTAGAAATGGTCCTTGTTATGACAGTTGAACCTGGCTTTGGTGGGCAGAAGTTCATGCCAGAGACGATGGATAAGGTACCATTTTTGACATTTTCATAACTTGAGCAATGTTTGATTGACATCTCTTGTTGAATCTCCTTACCGATTTTCACTCATCCAGGTGCGGAAATTAAGACAGAAGTACCCATCTCTTGACATTGAGGTATCTCTCTCACTTTCTCCATATTTCTTTTAATTTTCTGCAACCTTCTAATGCATGTTTCTTTAAATTATTGGTTCCGTCAAAAAGTTCCCCTCACCCACCATATTATGAAACACGGAAAAATGTAGCCCCTCATTGGCATGCATACTTTTGTCGTCCAAAAAACTCTGCAAGCTGGAGACGAACTTGTTCATATATTTTCTTTGGTTCTATTTCATTCAATAGTAATTTGATATAAGAAGTCACTTCGGTACGAGCATAGTTTCAATCACCAGTCTTTTAACTTTTTAAGTCTTCATAGATTTTCCCCCATGTTCAAAACTTTGTTGAAAAGATTAAACTTATCTAGCAAATAGACTTTGGATGCGAACTCGATATAGTGTACTTGTTGTTCGTTGTAGTTCCAATTCAGTGTACAGATGGCTGTATGAGGGACAGTGTCAACTCAGTCATTTTTGGTTTGTTTGCCAGGTGGATGGCGGATTGGGACCTTCAACCATAGATGCAGCAGCTTCTGCTGGGGCGAATTGCATTGTTGCAGGAAGTTCTGTGTTCGGAGCTCCCGAGCCTTCCAAAGTTATCTCCATTCTGAGGAAAAGTGTTGAGGAGGCCCAACAAAATTGTTGATCTTGTTACAAGCTTCGAGAATCCTCCATCAAAACTTGGTTTACACTTCTGAGACCCATGACATATTTTTAGATGAACAGAAGTTGATTTGATTTAGGTGGTTTCAGTATAATCTGAGCTACCGTATGGTCCGTGAGCCCTCAATAAAATCTCTAATAGAAGTAGAGGGTGAACAAGTTGATTTATATTTTGTAATTTTTTTTTTCTTTTAACAGAAAACTTCCATGTATAATTGCTTTGCAATAAGATGATGAACAAATAAATTACAGAGTTTGAAAAGAGAGACCTACTTTCATATTAAACAGTAGATGTTAATGACTCAATCTGGTTATCTATGAATTTGTTGGTTATATAAAAATTTATGTCTGATAAGTCATTGACCGTTGGGCTCGATTATATGCTCTCTGCCTCCAACGTGGTTCGAGCCCTTATCTCTTACCTATCTATTATGTATCCAAAGTTCTAAACTGAAGCTTTAGATGCATGAATTCATTGAATTGTAGATTGACATGAGTTTTTGTTCTCAATGTACATATATATTTTGAGAAATTCACATTCATGGTGTTTTTTCCAAGGAAAATGCAAAGATATTAGAGTGGGGGTTGAGCAGATCACGAGCACGTGAAGGGAATGAAAAATGGTTGTGTTTCTTGACGAAGGGATCCCCTTTCATTCCTCGGCCGAAGGTATGTCTCTTACCCCAAATTCCCAAATATTTCTATTTTGTTTTCCAAGAGGGATCCACATGTGCTCTCACGTGCATATGCTTCCATCCTCCTAACTTGTTTTGATGATATGTTTTCTAAATTTGTAAGACAAAATGCTGATGTGTGGTCCCTTCCTTTATTATATGCAACTTTTTGGATCAAGGGCTTTAGAAATGATAATTATAATTCAAGGCTGAATCCTTCCTATTCCAGTTGGTTAGGTTTAATGGAAATCCAATTCATGCAAAGCATCCTCTTAATTATATTATACATTGGGAAGAAATTTCCTTATTCCTTTTGTTTCCATCTTCCACATTTTTCTCAGGAAAGCTATGCCAACATCTTCAATTTCACTCTCTTACAAGTTATAACCATTTGTAAAATTTCCGCATTGGTATTTGATACTTGGTTCTTGGTTAAAATTATGGTATCGACCATTGATTCAAGAAAGTTTCAAGATAGATATGAAACTCTCTTTTCCTATGTAGCATAATAGCAAAAAATCGTAGATATTACTCATCATCTACCCTTCATAAAAGTTTAAGTTCAAAATAAGATTTAAACTTATTCATAGTCCATGCGAGCCTCACGCTCGAGTTCGGATATCAAAGAGTGAGATTTTTTTTTAGTATTATTTTATAATTGAATAATATATTGCTTTTGAGGTGGCATTTTGAAGGGAGGAATAGGATTGAAATGGAAGATTACTAGGTTCTGTATGATCATAATTATTTATATATATATTCTATGGTATTGGTGCTGCTTGTTTCATGCCTCAGCTTTAGCATGCATCAAACAAATGCCTTTTCTTATCTTTCTTTTATCACCCCTTTATTCTCAATTCTACATCATTCATTCTTCTTCAACTCACTTAAACACAGTTAAACTTAACACTTCTATTCATCTTTTTTAAACTTATTATTTGTTTATAGGTTAAATTAGATTTACATTATATCTATTTTTTTAAATTTATGTTTAACCTCAAAAGTTTTAATCATGCCCTAGAAACTTGAATTATACTTTTATTTCATTATATTCTACTTCACAATAAAACGTTGATGTAATATGTCCATTAAATAAACTTTGGTTCACGTTATGTGATGTAGCATTACAACCAATTGGAACCAATTCAACTCCAAGTTATCTAATGAGTATGTCATATCAACTGATCAATAGAAACACGTTCTTCAACTTTTAGTCGTCTCAAAATAAATATTTTTTTTAATAGCAATTAAACGTGGAGTTCAATGAAAGTCAAGGGTTGAAACTATTTTAGGTTTAAAAAATTAAATAACCATAAAATAGAAATAATTTTTTTTTTCTAGAAGTAAACTCATGTGTCATATTGTAGTAGTAAAGGTAATGATGGGAAATATATGGAGGGAAGGCTCTTCAATAGAAATTTGTCTCATGAGTGATATCATAATTATTAGGCAGCCCCTAACATATAGCAAATCATCATAATTATTCATAGCATTGTAGAGAAATGTTGGAATTAAATTGGAAGGCTAACTAGGTAGGGCTGCCTGCCTTTGTGATGTTCTTTATAATGTCTTTAGATTGATTATTGATTGGAAAATATACTCCATCATAGAGTTGGTATCTACCATTTTCCAACTTTATATTAAATTTTAAATTATTGAAGAGTTATTTTTTAGGACTTTTGAAGAGTGTGTTGGTTACATAGCTTTTATGTAGTTTTCTTTTTAAAACCTTTTTCAACCATCACCAATTAATTTTTTGATTTTCTATGCATTGCCTTGAGCATCACAAGAACAACTACTGTTGCTATCCTCTGTTTCTGTAAATACATATTCTTTGGTGTTATTTTTCGTAATTCTTTAAAAAATAAAATAAAAATTTTAAGTTATTAAAATCAAATTCTATATCTAGAAATATTACAGTAATAAATTATGAAAAATAAAGCAATATTTCGCAATTCATCCAACTTTAACTTAGTTAAATAAAGAAACTACTATTATTAATAACCGACCCAATCAATCAAGATATACTATCGACTATCTTTTCAAAAAAAAAAAAGATATACTGTTGACTAGTTTTTATAATAATTGTTGTTATAGATAGGGTCAGGATATGCTATGTAGATTTATAATTATTGTTATTATAGGTAGGTTTAGAGTCTGCCACGTGGATCACTCAATTGGAATTATACGTGTTAGTTCAGACAAGTCGAAGATGAAGTGAGACTAGCATAATCACCTATCATCAACCTGAGGAGAGCTCGGCTTGGCACCAACCTAAAAAAGGCGGATGTCACAGGTGGATTTCCACTAACACCAAATATGGAATGGATAGGACCATGCTCTCTAGAGCTCCCCTATAAAAAGACGGAGTTCCTCTTTTTCTAGAGTATGCAATCTCCACGCAACCAAACTAAGAATGTCTTGACACCAACTCGGATTAAGTTCTAACTTAGCTTCAAGGTGTACTTGGTCGAGCACAAGTTCTTGACTTAGGTACTTGGCTTTCACGAAATTGACGTGTCGCCTCATCCAAAATTTTGCATCAACAATTGCAATTTTTGAATTATCTTTGTAAAATTTACTTCTTAAATTTCTGCCTCATAAGAGTGCCCCCTTAAAATTCCCATTTCCCAACATGAAACTCAGCAGCTTCTACACACAAAAATTTCTCAATATTCTGAAAATTCTCCAACAATAATATGTGGATTCAAAGGAGCAACTTTCGGCCAAGTCTATTTGGCCTAAATGCTTCTTCAATCATATGGGATATGGACATCTGAACAAAGAGTTAAAACATGTGGTTGTTTCCAGACAGGACCGCAATCTTAAAGCAACGAAAAATCAAATTTTGTCTGTGAAAAACTATAGCAGTTATAAAGCTATGCTTTTGATCACAACCAATGGGAGAGATAGAAAACAAACAAAAAACTTGGATAAATAACCATCCCTTTCGGATCAAATCGAATCAAAGTTGATTGGTTAAATGCAATAAGCAATTCTTGTTTTGTGTCCCCCAATAATCTTGTCCTCCAACAGCCATGACAGAAGTGCTCATCTTTCAAAATGCCAGCTTCTGGATCCAAGAGGGAGAAATCTCCATACCTTTTTAACTGGTTTTCTGTGCTTTTGTGGGAGTTTTCTTTCTTGGAAATGGATCTTGTTATCAGTGTTCTGTTCTTGAGAACTCTTGTTTTGTTCATCTTGTTGGTTTCCTCTGCTTTTGGGGAGGGCTTGTTGAGCTGTGATTCGACGTCGCCTGATGCTTTCGGCTTCCGTTGCAATGGAAATGAGACTCTGGTGCAGTGTGGAACATTTGCAGTTCTTTTCACAAATTCGGAATTTTCGTCTCTTTTTAACCTTAGCTATTACTTGGGAATCAACCAGTTTGCCATTGCTGAAATTAATGGCTTCTCTGCTGAGGCACAGTTTCTTCCTAGAGATCAGCCTTTACTGATACCAATTGAGTGCAAGTGCAATGGCAGCTTCTTTCTAGCTGAATTGACAAAAACTTCCATTAAAGGAGAGAGCTTTTACAGCATTACGGAATCATTGGAGGGATTGACTACTTGCAGAGCAATAAAAGAGAAGAATCCCGGGGTGTCGCCGTGGGGTCTCGGAGACTCGGTCCGGTTACTGATACCGATGAAGTGTGGCTGTCCATCTTCCTATGCAGGTGGTCCAAAACCAAGGCTCTTGATCTCCTACCCAGTGAGACAAGGTGACACAATTTTTAATTTAGCCACAAACTTCAATACAACTCCTGAATCTATTATATCTGCTAACAGCAGATCCATAGCTGCCTTCAAACCAGAACGCCTTGTACCACTTTCGGCTCTATTGATTCCGGTGAATGGTGAGCCAATCCTTGGTTCTTTAGCAAAACCTCATCAACCTGATTTACGTCTTCCTTCCACCAGCATCCCGGGGGTCAACTCGCACAAGTACACGGCGAAAATGTTGCATTTCGGAGTGTATGTTGCACTTGGCGGAGTCATACTCGGCGTGTGCATTGCAGCAATAGCACGCTTTTTGGTAATCAAGCTGAAGAAAAACAAGCAGAAGAAGACACAGAAGGCATACGAGAGAGGCGAGATGGAGCTACAACAACTTAGTCTCAGTGTTAGAACGGCAAGCGACAAGAAATTCTCTTTCGAGGGATCTCAAGACACTTTTGACAGTCATCTCCTTGAATCGAATGCGAGCAAGATGCTCATTGCTATGTACACAGTTGAGGAGATCAGGAGAGCGACGGAGAATTTCAATCCGAGTAATCAGATAGAGGGATCTATGTATCAAGGACGTCTCAATGGGAAGAACATGGCAATAAAGAGGACGGAGCACGAAACTATCTCCAAGATTGAGTTTAGTCTTTTACATGATATCAAACATCCAAGCATATTGAGGCTTTTGGGGATATGTTTAACAGAGGATCCTCATTCCTTTCTGGTTTTCGAGTATGCGAAAAATGGATCCCTGAAGGACTGGCTTCACGGTGGTTTGGCAATGAAAAACCAGTTCATCACCTCTTGCTATTGCTTCTTAACATGGAGTCAGAGGCTGCGGATCTGTCTCGACGTGGCTGCTGGATTACAGCATATGCACCACGTCATGAAACCGGTTTACGTTCACCGGAACATCAAGAGCAGAAACATTTTCCTAGATGAGGATTTCAATGCAAAGATTGGCAATTTTGGAATGGCAAGATGTGTTCAAAATGACATTGAAGACCCAAAATTCTGTTCTTCCAATCCAGCCTCTTGGAGTTTGGGATATTTGGCTCCTGAGTGCATTCACCAAGGTATAATTTCCCCAACCATTGATATATTTGCTTATGGGGTTGTTCTTTTGGAGGTTTTGTCTGGGAAAACACCAATAACAAAGCCAAATGCCAATGGTGAAGGCAGTGTTTGGCTAACAGAGAAAATCAAGGCCATCATGGAATCGGATAATGCAGAAGAACTAAGGGAATGGATGGACAGTGCATTGGGGGATAACTATCCATTCGATGCAGCTGTCAAATTGGCTAAACTTGCAAGAGCTTGTGTCGAGGAAGACCACTCGTTGCGTCCAAATGCGGCTGAAGTTTTCGACAAGTTATCGAGATTGGTCGAAGAACTGCCCGAAGGAGATCAAAGTGTGAGCTGCGAGAGCTCCACAAAGCCTCTTGTGAAGGGGCTGCAGGCTTCTGAAACCAATCCATAAATAACTTCGTGGAAGCAGCAGCCTTCACTTGCAGTTCATATTTCAAGCCTCACTATCCTGTAATTTAGTAGTCTGATGAGTGTTCATTTTTGGCTTCAGTTTCCTTCTCTCTTCTCAATGAATCAATAAACACAATGGGTTCGTTCTGTATTTAGTTTTTATCTTATTCGCCTCATTAATAGCAAGCTTAATTAAAAAGTATCGCCATGTTCAGAGGGAAAGAGAGAGTGCAAAGCATTTGAAAATAGGAAAAGAAATGAGTAATCTTTATAACAAGTGATGAACAAAATCAAAGTTCAAAGTCAGGACATCATGAACTTGAACTCATCAAAGTTAAGAACGCCATCAGAATTGAGATCAAATTTAGCAATCATTTTCTTGCATTCTTCAATGCTCCTCGATTCCCCAAGCCTACTGAGCATCCTCTTCAGACTCTTGGTCGTGATGAATCCACAACCATCCATTTCATACATCCTGAACGCCTCCTTCAGATCACGCACCTTCTCTTCCTCCTTCACTCCTTCCACAAACGCAACAAATTCAGCCCATCCCACCAGCCCATCGCCGTCGGAATCCAAATTCCCCACCACCAACTCCGCCTCCTCGAGCGTCAAACTCCCCCCGACGGCCGCCATGCACTGCTGCAGCTCTGGCGGAGACAGCTTCCCGTCTCCGTCGCCGTCGACCTGGTTGAACACTTTCTCGTACAATGCGAGCTTGTCCATGATTCTGAATACGGCGAGGGCGGGAGTGAAGGAGGAGGAATGAGCATGGAGAATTGGGGATTAGGGCAAAGTGGATCTGCAATTATATGGAAGGGAATGCGCGTACCGTGGTTTGACCGCCGGATTGGGCGACGGGGTTGGTAAATGAAAGGGGTGGTTGCCGTCCACTCGTGGAGCAGATGGTCGACCATTTCTTCACCCTTTCATGGAAATTGAATGGAGGTTTTTCAGCGATTGTTGAATAAACAAATGATTATGCGTAAAAGATTGACACATCCAGAAGGAAGGAACGATGGTTGGATAATCAGTCAAGAATCTATAAAACGTGGAAACTGCCCTAATTTCGGCGAAAATTTTCTCCAACAATCATAAAAAAACCTGAAGAAGAAAAAGTCTTCGTAAACTCTCCGCTTTTCATCTGCGTTTTCATTTATCACTTTTTTCAACTTGCAGTTGCGACAAGTTTGATAGTTTCCTTACTTTTCTTCTTTGAGTTCTTCAAAAAGTTACTAAACAATTCATATCAGTTTGTTAACCGCGTTGGTAATTTTGAGACATCGGTGCAAAGGGGTATTAGAAGTTCGAATCTTCATCCCATATTATATGATCGGTCTGATAAAGACTACTATTTTCATTCTTCATAGCAAACATTTTTCATAGAATTCAACTAAACTTCACTTATCTCAATCATCACTGTAAAGACTCTACTATTCCTCTTCTACAAAGGGTCTACTGTCCAAACAAACTCTGATATGCCATAGTTTTAGCTCTAGACATTTACAATTTACATCAGTTGTGAACATGGAATGAAATAAATGGCAGCTCAAAAATATCACCTACCGGCATTCTTCTGCGTGTGCACGACTCCTCTTCTGATGGCGTAAGGTTGTCTGCGAGCCTCTTCGTTAAACTCATTTTCGCCTCACTACCGCTGTAGGAAGATGCTCGGGAGGATTCGTCGACAGCTTGTAATATTTACAACTAAGACGTAGAATCAGACCTTTGCTCAGCATCAGCAGAAGCCTGGACTTGAGCAGCATACTGTAAGTTCCACAGCACATCCTCAAATGAGGGGCGAGACGATATGTCAGTAGCTATGCATTTCTTTGTGATAGATATGACTCTTGATAATGACTCTTGGGAGCAGGTGGTTAACACGACCGGATCAACAATTCTTCTCCGGCCATCCGTGCTGCCGAAGGATGCCTGTTGTTTCATACATAAGGAATCAGAAACCACAAAGAACAGAAGCAACTCTTATGAGAAAACCAGGTTTTTTCTGCCTTTTAGTTGAGAGACAAATTATATTGCACTTCTCAGTCATTGAGTTGAAGAGCAGAGAACCATTTTAAGAAAAAAACACTAAAATACCATGTCATTTAGAAGAAATGTTTCTTCTCTTCCAGTTACAATAGGCCCAACAAGTGATTCAAGCAAAATATATCCAAAATTGTAAACATCATCCTCCACTAAGTCTTTCCTGTTGCTGCAACCAAAGACCGTAAAAGTTATACACTACCTGAAAGGGAATAACTGGAAGAAAAATTTTTAGTTCGGGTTTTTGAGATCCTTTGTTTTTGTTTTCTTAAGATTCTTTCATATGATATTACAAGCAAAACATGGTATAATATTTGTGCTACGCTCAGTTGTTTTCTTACCTTGATTTTGTGGCTTCTCCCTTTGTCTACAAAAACAAAAGACATGAAATGAGTTCACTTAACAAAAGAAGCCCAGTAGAAATCTCTCAATATCACTGGAAATGTAAACTGAAGTACCTCATGTTTTTCAATTTCTTCAGTGATCATCGACATGCCATAGTCGCTAAGCTTTGGAATTCGGTGTTCATCAAGCAATATATTGTTAGTTTTCAGTCGATTGTTGAACGAACCAGGAATAACCCCCGTGTGTAGAAAGTGGATGGCCTTGGCAACTCCAATTAAAATTGTCAACCTATCTGACCACTTCAGGACTTTCTCTGGATAAGTTTCTGCATTCAGATATCAGATAAATGAGGAAACGTGAACATTCCATTAATAAATTGAATGCCTAAAGAACCAAAAACATGTTTCAAGGCTGCATTTGGTTCAGTAACAAAAACCAAGTGTCCACAGGTTTCACACCAAAACTGTTGCATAACAAATATTATCTTGCAACGACCAAAGAAAACCATGTTTCAAAATTTTAATTTTTACCATTCTGATGGCGACTAACCTGACAAAAGGGTACAGTAATTCCCATTAGGCACGTATTCGTATATGAGAAGAACTTGGTTGACACTTGAGTTATCATGTCCATCTCCCTCAATACAGTGACCCAAGAGGCCAACTAAATGGGGGTGGTGAAGCTTCGAAAGAACATCCAGTCGAACTTTAAGGTTCTGTATTGAATATTTCTTTGATAAAGCTAAAGACCTTATGGCAACAAGGGTACCATTCTCCAATTTTCCTCGATAAACCTGAAGAAGAAAATTAGATAAGTTTCCAATGTGTGGTAAATGCCTCAGGAACAGCCTCAGAGCAAGATATTTAAATGTGGATCTAAGCATCTTGGGGAAAGTTTGTATACCAAAGATTAATCAAAGAAGAGCTTATATGAACGGTTGAAATCCCTTAAATGAACTATATGAAGTATACTTTCAAGTTGCAACAACTAATTCAAAAGTGAGCTTATAATGAAAAACTAAGGTAAGAAAATTTTTGGTTGAATCAAAGTGAATTAATAAAGATCCACTTTGAAAGTATTCTTATCAGAACCTCTATCTCATGTGTTAAAGTATTTGGGAATACCTTTCCTAAAGAACCTTCTCCCAAGAGCATTGATTTATCAAAGGCTTTTGTAGCTTCCTTCAGCTCTTGGTAATAAAATGATCTGCATACAGGAACAGTCTGAGCACCTAGCTTCATAGCTTGAGAAATTAACCCTGCAAAAGAAAAGTTCCTCTAAGCTTTAGAAGACGGTGGGTTCTACCGTAAAAATACTTCCACACACCATATCATTGTAAATTCAGGAAAATATAAAAAATTTTATGGCATGAACTGTAGTCTACAGACAACAAATCAGACAAACAGACTACTTACTGGCACTTGCTAATAGCTCAGATGAAACAGCAGCAGGTGAATTTTCTTGCACAACTTTTGGCAGCACTGGCGGCTCTTGTTCCGTTCTTTTGCGGAGCCTTCGGCACAAGAAGATAACTCCTAGGGCTAGAAGCACAATGACAATAATTGCTCCACTGATGAAAGCAACAATCAACAGATTTTCTTTTCTTCTGGAATTTCCTGTCCTTGCAAGGGATTCTGCACAAAATGATGCTCCATGCTGGTGTTGCAAATCAGAAGCAAAACAATTCCCACCAAACTTAACCATTCTCTTGTCTGAAGAACTGCCCAAGCAAGTGGGAAGAGCACCAGTTAACTTGTTGTTAGAAATATCAACATACCCAAGTTTTGTACTGCAACTCAGATGATTTTGAAGAGATCCACTCATCCTATTCGAAGCTAAATTCAAATATGTAATGTTCGGCAGATTGAACAAGAAAGGAGGTGGTGGCCCAGTCAGTTGATTGAATGATAAATCAAGATGTTGAAGCTGGGCCATCTGACCAAAGTGCTTAGGAATTTCACCAGATAAAGCATTCTTGCTAAGCAGAACTGTAACCAATCCTTTAGGCATGGCTGGAAGCAGAGAGTTTAACTGATTTTCTCTCATATCCAATACATGCAAATTGGTCAAAGCACTTAAGTCTGGCAACTCCCCAGAAATTTCATTGTGAGACAAAGAAATATCAGCTAGAGTTCTAATTTTGCACAGTGAAGAAGGAAATTGACCCTTCAGTCGATTGCTTTTCATGCTCAAAAAGGTAAGGTTCGTAAGGGAGTCCAGCCAATCAGGGACTGTATCGTTGAAGTAATTACCATCAAGAACCAATGAATAGAGTTGAACCATGGTAGAAATCTTAGGTGGGACTCGACCAAATATGAAATTCGAGCTCAAATCCAAGAACTCAAGAGAGGAGAGGCGATGAATCTTATCAGGAAGTGGCCCCCAAATCCCCAAAGAAATTAAGCTAAGAACCCGTAAGCTACTTAACCTTGACAATGTGGTAACGAAAGAATCAATGGAAAACCTCTCAGAAAGAGTTTGATTCGGTATTGCAACCCCATTAAACCCTCTAAATTTGACAAGCTTATCCCCCATAATTCTGAGCTCGGTCACTGCATTGTCCTGGCACGAAATGGTCATATCTGGAGATGGAGAAACGTTACACAGGTCGCCATCGAAAGTGTTCATAACTTCCAACGAAGAAGGGTACTCCAAATACTTCCTAATCTGCACCAGGATCTGGGTCTGAGAAGTCTGTAGCTGATGGGTACTGGGAAGGGACAAAATCCATGAAAGACTGACAAGAAGGAAAAGTTGCAGAGAACCCATTTGAGAAGCCTCTGAAACTCTCTGATTAATCAACAAGACGATCGAAAACGAAGAACTAAAGCAAGAATTCTTAGTCCAAGCCCCATGGTATACACCTGGATAACTTTTGACCGAAATTAGCAAAAGCGAACTGTCGAGAAATTCCCCCAGTCGGGAATCATTCCCCACTCGAGAAGAAAAATACAAAAGAATGAGATTATACCCTCAAACAGAGAGCCCCGACCAAAAGGGGAGAAGGGAAAAAGGGGGAAAAGAAAACAAAAAAAAGAGAAAACGAGAGTAAAGAAGAGAATCTTCAAAACAGGGCACGATTCCCCCGGATGTAAAAAATGCTCAAGGATGAAAAAGCTGCAATAGAATTCGAAGAGACAAGATACAAAAACTTAAGCCGAAGATTACAAACAATGTATTGGCAGGAAAAAATCCAGAAAAACAGAGAAGAAAACACAAAAAAAAAAAAAGAAAAAAAGAACAAGAAGGGGGTAAATGGGTATGGAGACAGAATGGTAAAGTAAAGTAAAGAAAGCACTAGCGTTGCTGTTCCAATAAAAAGAAGAAGCACAAGAAGGCGAATTAAGGAGGATAGAAGATAATTGGTGGAGGTAGTTGAAAGCAGAGCAACACTGAGAAAGCATTAAATACATCTACAAGGTGGTCTTCTCTGACTCTGACATGAAAGAGACCAAAAATCCTCTTTGGAGAACATGAACCATACGGCGGTGGGCGTGAAAGTGAAGCCCAGTGAGCGAATTCTGTGAAGAAGACCGAAAGTGGGCGGCTGCGCTGGCGAACTCTGTCGCGCTGCGAAATATAAGCGCCATGCGACTCTGTTTTCGTTGTTCGCTTCCTTTTTTTTTTCTCTGAACTTTAATCTTTTTTAATTTTGATATAGTTTTTTTCTTCTTCTTTCTGTTGTCGTCATTATTCTACAGATTTCGCGGTACTTACGATGATGCCATCACGTGCTTCCCTTTCAGTTACCCGTTTTATTTTTTATTTTTTGACTAATCTGAACTCTGAAAGATGTTGCCGTTATAAATGAACCGCCGCAGTCACGATTCCCGCACGCAATTTATATATTTAACTTAATTTCGATTTTTTTTAAATCCTTATTATATAAAATGTCATTTTTGTAATGTTTGCAAGATAATTATTTGAGCTCCTGTAAAATATATATTTTAAGAAGTAATTGCAAATATACTAATACGAACACAATTTAGAAGCACATGTTACCTTCTCTGAAGTTAAAAGTTCAATTTTCCACCTTGTACTAAAAAATTTGAAAATATAGTACTTAAAAAAATATATGTTCATGTCCAAATTATCTAACTCACAAATTAAGTTTAATAACCCACTAGAAATCCACATAAATATGGAGATTAATTTTAGATGTTTAGTAGGCATGATCATGTTCACCGGAGCTTTATCTTTATCTAGTCTACATCGATCATTAATGCATAGCTATCACTCAATTATTAATCATATAGCTAAGAAGTTGTCACTCTCATTATGTTGCTATCATTGACGAATACAAAGAAAGGTACATCCACTAGTATAGGATCTCGTGCTTAACATCGTTCTAACATAGTCACTTATGACTAATTTCTAATTGGCATACCACTCTTATAAATAGAATGATAGTATTGGAGGGTAAATATCAACGTGTCACATGTCTTGAAATACGTCAAGCAAAAGGAAAAAAGAATAATACTTTAGATATGATGTCCGAAGTGTATGTATATTTATGAAGTCCAATTTATGAGAGTTGAGCTTCCTCTATTGTTGATTGATAACCGTTCAACCGTTCCACTGACCACACTAGCGAGTTCAACGTCAGAATTCATGATAACATGCTACAAGTTGAGCAGCATTTACAATTGTCGTTCACCTATAAATATTAGAGGTAACTTCATTCTTAGGTATAAGCGAATCTCTTAGCAAATAATACACACAGAAATAGTTCGACCTACAACTAACTTGAACTTTGAAGTACTCACTTGTAAAATATTTTACAAGTTAAATTATTTCACAGAGAATCTTCTGAGGAGTAAGATTTCGACTAAAACAAATAGAATTACTCAAATAAGTTCACATGATAATTTGGCTGTCTAAGTATGTTATTATTGGGTTCGGGTAGGATAATAAATTTTAATGAAAGTAGAAAATAGGTAGTTTAAGGAGTGAGTGAAAATTGGAAATGAAAATGAATAGGAAAGAATATGATATGATTGATGAATATTGGTAGGAAGTTAATGAGAGGATATATTCCAAAAAGGACAAGGAAATGATGGGGGGACCTAATTTGGACAGCCAGCCTGTTGCAAATGGCAATAATTTTTTTTAAAAAAAAAACACAAATCAAATAAATTAATAATAGTTGAAATTGAATTTATACCACCACTTACCACTAGTACTAGATGGTGATGGAAATGATCATAAACCAAAAACCGCCATTAATAAATAAAGTCAAACTACCTGTGAACTCAATTTAATATTACCTCTCAAGTATGTTTCACATGTCACACTCACATTTTTTAACATCTCTTATTAGAAAATTAAACATATTTTTATATCAACTCTAATCGAGCCGGGTATAATTCAATAAGTAAAGTAATTATTATCATTTCAAAAGTCGATAGTTCGATCTTCACCCACAATTATTGAACTAAAAAAAATTAGTACCTTCTAAGGTAAATTATGAAATTGCACATCTGGGAATGAAATACGTATTAAGTTTTTTTTTTTTTTTACGTTTTGAATGGAAAGGGTTGGATTGTATATTTGGGGTTCTTTTTCTTTTTTTTTATTTTTCAAAATACTATTTGTTTGAGGTGGCATACTGGTCAAATCTTCTTCGTTAGACTTAAAAAATATTCTAAAGAAAATAAAATTAAAGAAAAAAAGGCAGTTGTGTTCTTAAAGACAAAACATTAAATGGAATGGAACTTGGCCCAATAGAGAGAGATTTATGACTATTTGTTACCAGAAAGTTTTCATGCACAATATTTCTGTTGAGATATTTCATTTCCAAGTATTATCCTATACAAGAATTACCTTTTTCAACTTTTTGACTACTTCCCAACCTGTCGTAATGATTTAAATTGTCATAAAATAATAAAAACTTTATTTACTTGATTTAAAATGTCTTTGAGGTTAAAATAGTTTAGTTTTTGGAGCTAACACAGCTTAATTAGAGATAAAATCTATACATAATTTGGCATGAAAACGACTCAATAAAGCAAAAATATTGGAAGAAAATATCAAAAGAGTGTTCCATCAAATAAGAACCGAATCCACAGTTGACAGTTGACTCAAAATTATTTAAGATGATTAATTATGGAATTATTATTATGTACCAAATTCAGTTAATTAATGATTAGAAGGAACTGAGATTAAGAAATCAGTCCTCGGTCTCCATTTGGGGACAAAAGAGAGTGTCAAAAAAAGTGGGCTCTCATTTTCATGATAAAAACCATACATTTCAACAATTATTCAGCAAAAAAGAAAACAGCATCACAGTTTTAACAGATTTAATTTTATGGGTAACAGAACCAAACTTTTTCAATGCCAAACAATTAAAAAAAAGGCTGTAACTGGGACCATCTTTGCCTAAAGATTTTATATTTTTAATTCTGCCGTTTTAGTATTACATGGCCTTTTTCTTTTTGTTTCTTTTAGCCATTTACATTATCCTTACCCTTATCCATTTCTTTATCTTCAATTCTTGAGGATAGCTATTTTACCTTCGGTTTATTTTGGTAAACTACAAAGCAAATAATTATAATTAAAGTAGGCTGTAGTTAGTTAAATTTCTACTCAATAATACTATTGAAATTGAACAACAAAATGGAGACTTGGCATTTTAAAAATTTCAATAAAATCCCATTATTAATTCATGGTATTTTCAACACCATTAGATCTTAAAGTGGTGTTTTGAAAACCGTAAGTATCCTCTTCCTTCTATTTTAGTATTTAGGTCAAGAGGTTTTTTTTATATTTACTGGCGGTCTAATAGATTTAAATTCAATAAAGATGAGACAGTATTTAACAATATTAAATAAAATATTAGCTCATAAGAAATAATATTTTTTGAATGTCGTGAATTGAATAATGAAGTTTGGTAAGTGATGAGTTCTAAATATTTTCTTGATCCAAAGTTACATCAGTCTTGAAGTTGAGATTTTAATATTAAATGTAGCTCACGGAGTTCGGTGGAGAGGTAAAAAAATAAATTTGGTTCCATAATTTTATTATATTTCTACAGATACATACAAAAGATATAGTTATATTTGGTTTGAGAAATATGAAAGGAAAAAAAATTAATTAAAAGAGCAAGCTTTCACTATGAGACATTGATGATTGTATAAGTAATTGTCAGAACCCAAATACAATAATGAGCAATCAATCAAAGTTTGAATACATTTACCAAACTCCTGACCTCTTTTGACTGTGGAAACCATTAAATCAGGCTTGGGAGACCTACCCTATACACCTACGATCTACTATCTTTTTATCATCGGTGGTTGAATTAGGATGCTTCAAATAACTAACAGAACTTCCAATAATATTAGTTTTCAAAAAAAAAAAAAAAAAAATTCTATCCATTGTTGCTAACATGAGCATATCTCAATTATTAAGATATCTAACTTGAGATTGGAAGTTCAAATTCTGAAAGTACAACCAATTGTTAAGGTAAATTATAAACTTTCTTAGTAACAGAGTTCGGATCTGTATTATGCATAACTAGCTTTGTAACTAATTGATATCTATTATGCACAGAAAGATTTCTATTGATGATCTAATTATTTCCCTTAAAAGAGCAAAATGACGAATTATACAGACAGAAATTATGTTTCTTCAAAAGAAATTTATTCTACCTGACAAAGATGCTTGTACCTTTTTGGCTTTTACATCCAAAACAGGTCAAGAAGAGTTCTTTGAGTTTGGAGAGAGAGCCCAAGCTTTAAAGACGTTCCCTACCTAAAATCCAGAAATAGATACAAGTACAACATGTTAGGCTTACGACTTTGAAGTGGCAAAATGTAAAGCAGTTCCAATTAGAAGGTGTTGAGACAGTGCCAATAAATTTTTTTTTTTATTATCCAAGAGTCGACGAGCCTTTAACCTTTATGCTCCTATACATATAGGCAAGGAGTCACTTGGTGAAAGTTGCTTCCCATATGGCTTGAACCCAAGACTTCAAGATTATTCCTTGAGGCCTTAAACCACCCAAGCTATCCCTCGAGTACTAGTCTCAATATAATTAAAACAACAGAAGCGGTGGAATATCCATTTACATGGGATCCAGCGACAGGAGAGTGGATCCACGCTAAAACTGGCTTTCTCCAGTGTTGATCTAAGCCAACTTCAAACAGTAAAGCACTGTACATTTTACAAAGAAAGGAAAAAAAAATGTAGCTGCCTAGCTGGTTGTGCTACTGTATAAGCACGCACATGAAAATAGTATCAAGATCATGCTCTTCAAATACCACAAAAATTGAAGAGCGTGTGGTTACCCATTTGACTAAATTCAACATCTAAATAACATATGGTATGAAAACGTAACTTACAATAAGGAGTGTAAAATAGAAGCTCGAAAGTTTGATGTTTGTAACCTCAAAGGTTGGAGAAAAAATGTATGCTACTCCTGTTTTTCTCTATCAATATCTATTCCATGAACGATTTATTCATATTTAAATTGAAAAAGGAAAAAAGAAAGAAAGAAAAAAGATCAAGCAGAATATAAGAATTACAATACAGCATTTCCGTCCACTTAGAAGTTGATGTTATGAGTCATACAACTAATAAAAGCTATGATTGTAAATTACGTAAGCAGATAATGGATGCTGATTCCTCCAATTTGAGAGACCCTGCACACCAGAAAAGGAGGAAAAGGATATGAAATTAAAAAATAAATAAAGCAAGAAAAAGGAGATATAAACAAAAACATGTCTAGGCCTTGACTTTTCGTATGTTTTAATTAATAACTATCAAGTCTCGAAATTTACCCCCGTCCATCCAAAAGGGGCACAGGCTAGCTACCATGGCAATGTAAAAGCAATTCTCACATCCTTTCTGGTCTAGGAAAATGTAAGGCGCCAGGATCAGAAAATGGTGAAATCACTCACTTTGTTGCAAGGGTGAACTTGCTATTTTTCTGAATTTTGTATCTGTTCAGCACGGGGCTTGTCAGTAGAAGAAGACTCCAGATAAGAAATTACGATATCAGCAGCTTTGCAGCCGGCGGCTATAGATTTGCCAACAGACAAACCATCCCTGTGGTTACCTACAAGGTGCGTGATCCATAAGCTGAAAATCCACAGCTAACAAGGCATTCGAAGTATGCAAGAGTTATTATGTGTACCCATGCATGTGAAAAGGGGCATTTCCTGTTGCAAAATTAAATAACTGATAACAAAAATGCATGGACCTACGTGGCAACTGCTATTATTTGGGGTAGGAAAATTGAGAGCAACAAACAGTAGGCTTTTGTTACTTTTGTTACTGTAGGATAACAAAAATTGAGAGTAACATCCCTGATCCATCACATCATAGGATTTTTTTCTCTTTTGGGTTCAACAACAACATTTGGGATGGGAATTTGAACCTTCGACCTTTTAATCGATAATATATGCCTTAACTGTTGAAATTCATATCATAGGATTTTAACTTTTTTCTTAAGATACCAAATATGTAGGCAGCTAGCTAGCTGTAAGTAAAATAAAACAAGAACCAAAAAAAGATATGGGGATGACAAAACGTTTAAGCTAAAGGGTAAATATGATTTAAGAAAGAAAGTTAAAAGAATAAATTAACCTTAAACTTCTAGCTTATCTGAAAAAATAGCTTAAATTTTTTAACTGGTAAAGTAATTATTTAACATATTTTGAAAAAACAGAGATTCTAAATTGGTGTGTTATTATTTTTGCCTCATATCAAGAGTAGAACTAAGCCGCATGTTAGATATTGTTAATCAATCTGATAATCAAATACATATATAAGAGGGTGCGTCAAAAAATAAATTATAAGTTCATTCTACCTTAAAAGTTATTAACATTAACAGTTAACTAACAACCTCAAATTCAAATTCAGAGCAAACGCAAGAATAATTCCTATAAATTATGGATGGCCTGTAGTTACCTGCATAAAAGAACCCAGGAAGATCTTTCTCCATTTTTTCAATTGCCTTCACAACTGAATCATAGTTATGCCCATATAAAGGAAATGCTTTGCTCCAATAGAAATGGCTGTAATTATACATATATTGGGCCAGAAGAAAGTGGGAACAAACGTGAAAGTCTTGACATTTATTTATAATCAAAACCATTAGAAGTGATAAGATGAAAATTGATTGGTAAATGAAAGTTTGCGTACTTGACAAAAGTGGGCTCCCCATCGACTCCCAACAACTGTCTTAGATCCGATGTAACGATTTGCTTCAACTCATCTCTGAAAAGCAAGTGTGAAGGGAAGGTTAGTTGCAACCTAAAAGAATAGGTAATAACAAAAAGAAAATTGTTGAACTAGATAGTTGGCGGCAAGAAAAATTTTTGTTTTGTTTTGTTTGTTTGTGTAATAATGAAAAGCAAGAAGCTCTGCTAACTTTGATGACTTCGCAAGCTCCCTGTTTCGACTCCCACCAATAAAAGTCGTATACAGATACTCATCACTTAATGCACGATCTGGAAACATCATGGAGGAAAAGAGTGTACCTGTGGAGCAGAATTACGTCTGTTTGGAGTAACAATGTAAGTTTCCAGTAATCCAAAAAAAAATAAACATATATTACCAAGGGTTCTTAGACCATTTCGTTGTTCTACAGAAGGTACAAGAACTCCAAATCCCTCAAGTGGTCTCTTAACACTCTCCTTTCTGAAGGTAGTTATCATGACTGACAATGGCATATAAGCCACCTGTAACAAAAATAGTGCAGCTACTTCAGCCACCCTTGACCAAAGAATATCAACGATACAATTTTACCCATCCAATTTTTTTACTTTCCAACAATATCTTACAAGAACTAAGACGGCATAAGACTAACTCTTACTAAATTCCTTTGTGGTTTTCATAGACCTCCAATATTTCCTGTGTGCCAAATGAAGAAAGGGAAAAGTCGTGAGGAAGGGAGTTCAGGTGTTTAGTGATTCTGTGGGTCGCAACTGTTGGGAATGGGAATGTGATGTAAGTTAGGGGAGTTCGGTTAGGAAACATAAGGACGACCTTAGTAATATAGGATAAATGTTACTAACATCCATCCAACTTGCATCAGAGTAGATATAGAAGCACGGAGGTGGTTGAGGAGTTCTTCATACTTTCTGAAGATAATATTTTGAAAAGAAAAAAAATAGAGAAGCATAACAAGTTTGACAACTGACAAGAGTTTCACCTCTTCAAAAGAAAACAAATTAAAAATTAGTACCATAATCTCTTTTCTGGCCATAATTTCTATTCGTATGAACTTAAACATTATCATTTTTATTTTATTTCAAGCATATCACATAACCAAAAGAAAATCATATGTCCTCAAAGAACTAACAATAGAATTGTTGCTTTTCTTGACGTAATTCAGCAAATGTTTACCTCAGGAAGAAAATTTAGCGGAAATGGAATTCCTCCTTTCATAAACTTCATTTCTCTGACGTAGCACACAGGAGCCTGGCATAGACAAGCTCCAGGTCAGCTAACATTAGGATGGCCTCATTGACTAAAAGTGTCATAAGATGCCTTAATTTAATGTATTATTAATTATCAAAACAAAATTAAAAATATTCAGAAAATAACAGATCAATTGAAAACAATTCACGTATATTTAAATACTTGCACTCTAATCAACATAAAGTTAGTAATTGAACCAAAAATAAATAAAATTCAAAAATAATAATAATAAATAAGTACAGTTGTCCCCAGAAATGGTCCCTGTTGTGCCAATCCAAATTTTGAAGTTTTCTATCAACCAGTGGTACCCAGTTAGAAACTAGAAATGTCCCTATATATATATTTTTTATATAGGAAACAGAAGAAATGTCCGTATATAGTCATCTACAGATATGAGATTTGACATTCTTTTGCTCATTTATTTCCAATTTGGGAGGGAAGCTTATCACAGTGTCATCAGTAAAGGTCTTCTAATACAAAGGGAATTATGCAAATCAAAAGAACTAGTAAGCTATGATAAAAAAGTGAACACAAATCTTCAATTGGCCTAACCGTCATAATTACAGCATCAGCAGTTAAATCCTGTGAATTCCGACCATTAGCATAAGTGAGTGACCAATTTTGTGATGCGGGCTGCCCAGCATTGTAGGATAATGAAAAAACTTCTGATCTTAACTTAAGCACATCTTCACCAAGCTCTTTGCATAGTCTATCGGTGAGTGTCTGCCACAAGATAGGTCAATCCAAGCATTTAGTATCAACTGACAGTACACCACAAGAATCCATGTTAACAAGGCTTTAATGATATTGGTCAAGCGGCAAGTGACAATAAGCAGAAAATGAACTAAAGAACAGTCCAACTAAATGGACCAAATCCTACAAAAGAGAGAGATTAAAGAAAATGCCTCAAAAGGTACCTGCATTCCATCCTGAAAGGAAAATGAGCCATGACCAGGTTTCCTTTTTTCTGCAGTACCATTCCTCGCTCCACTATTCTCCTTTTTGGTAAACAATTTTGATTGCACTAATCCAGCTAAAATCGAACCAAACCTGAAAGAGAGAAAGCTAACTTACCAATCAACACATATACACAACATGCATTACAATACCATAAAGCACGATATTGCTTCTAATTATAGTTAATTAAATTAATAAAGACCCAAAACCAGAAAACTTATGTAATACTCAGACCAAAAGATAGACATTGCATACTGTAGAAAGGCTAGAACTAGAAATATTTCAAATTCTAGCAATTTTTTTTTATTTGAACAAGAAACACACTTTTTATTGATAATATGAAAAGAAAGAAAAAGGTTCAAGGGTACAAGCTCCCAGAGGAAGCAAAAAAAAGAAAAAGAAAAATCATCAAAACATAGAAACCAAGAACCCATGAAATAGATGAGATTTGAAGCCCAAGAAAAAAATTGTCACCAATAAAGCTTGCCAATTCAAAAGAACTGACTGCTGAGGAGCAAGCCAAAATAATCACTTAACACAAACTGATCGCCAAAATGAAGAAGTAAAGAATCTAAAACCTACCTCCACCAAGAGAAGACAAGAAAATTGTAATATCTCAACTCTCAAAACTGCTGCAAAGCGGAATCAACCAAAAACATGTTGCCCATAATTAAAGCCTACCTATTCAGTGATTGGAACTAGGATAAGGCCTACATCTTAGGATGAGTTTCTAGAAATATCCTTTTACGATGAGTTTCTAGAAAATGAAACTGCTCAGAGGGCAGCGCAATAAAATCTTTTAGGCCCACATTACAGAACTTGTTGAACCATTCATCGACAATCACCGACTAGAACAGTCATAGTGATGATACATTTCATCAATGTAGAAATAAAGAGGTTATGATAGATTTTCCTACCCTTTCCATGGTTTTTTTTTTATGGGGCAACCGCTTGACCCTACAACATTTGGTGCTGAGAAACACATAGAAACTACTAATTCGTATGTGGCCATGGGGTTTGAACTCATTCCCTCTTAATCAACCCTAGCCCCTTTGGACCAATGAACCACCCATGATGGTTTACCCATTCAATGGTTTTAGAGGCAAGTATGATTCACGGTTATGGTAGAACCAGATTCTAATGCCACATGCAGGATTTGGAACCAGAATGACTCAATTGAAGCTCAATTAGAGCAGTAACAATTTAATAGGTTATGAAAAAACATTAGACGCTTATTCTTTAAGGTTTCAAAAATTATCACCAGGAATCAATGTTTTAAAAGGCTAAAGGCGGCCTCGAGGCTTTTTCTCTTGAAAAGGCGAGGCGTAAGCCTCAAGGCGGTATGAGGCGTAAGCCTCAATTTTAATTAAAAGAATTAAACAAATCCTAAATTTGTGTGGTCAAGTATTACCAAACATAATAGTTATATAAAATTATCAAAATATCCACCTGTTACTTGTCACTCAAAAAAAATTCAAAAAAAACATCATAACATCACTACTATTATCACCAATAGAACTTACTTATTCTATAAATTGTTGTCTTTAATATTTTTAAAGTCTAGGTAGTAAAAGTAGTAATAGATTGAATTGTTACAACTCTTGCTTAGGATTCCATAAAAAAAAACCTTGATATTTTTTAAGAATTAGAAAAATTAATAGTATTCTTGTAATCATTACACGAGGCGTATACTTTAAGCCTCAGTGCGTTTTCAAAGAGGCGTAAGCCTCTTCTATGCGAGGCGTAAGCCTCTTATAGTCCAAAGAAGGCGTATGACTTGAGGCTAAAAGTTAGAGCCTTGCCTCGAGGCGGGCCTCAAGGCGTAAGCCGCAAAAGCCTTTTAAAACATTGCCAGGAATAAAGGAATCTTTTCAAAAATTATCACCAGGAATAAAGGAATCTAAGGAAAAGATTTATAGTAACATCACCTTTTTTCAATATTCCACAGCTCCGGAAAGGTATGAATCATCTGTTAACAAAGGTCAAAAAAGATTAAGAAGTAGAACTAGTTAAGTTGCAACAGCATTTTATACACATAATTGGAAGCTCAAATCTACCCTATACATGACCATTGTCAAACATGCAAATAAAGTAGAACTTCGAGTTGAGCATATTAACTTATGTGATTAAAGAAAAGAAACGAAACATAGCAGCATATTTGTTTTATAACTAAAACAAGAAACAGGAAACCCAAATGTTAGTACTCACAGAAAGAGAGTCGGGATCTCCAGCACTTGTACCAGCAACAATTGGGTCAATCAGATAGTCAACAACCTTGAAATTCAGAACAATTAGAATAAAGAAGGCGTTCCATATGCAATATTACAAATATTCTATTTAGATCAGAAAAAATATAAAGCATTAGAGCTTTTTTGACAGACTGTTTTCTAAGTTTTTTACTTTTGTTTTTTAAGACTACTTTTAATAACAGTGATCATATGACACGTAAGGATTAGGGCTATTGTGCATATTGAAATTGTTACTCATAAACTTGTGATTTAAAAAGAAAGAATAACTTCCATTATTCCAAGAAAAAAAAAAGTTCATTCATGACGAGAAAAAAACAATTATAAAAAAAAACATCCAAACATATTTTCATTGAATTTTTGCTCTAAAAGATAAAAGACTGTTTTCCAAACAAGTCTTTATTTATCATATATATGAACACCATATTTTTGGATAATGAATTTATCAAAAGCACAAAATTACCTCTTTCCCAAAATGGCGCTGAAAGAACCCACCCACGCTGTGGATAAAAACATTAGAAACCAGTATGCTAGGATCACTTCCTCAAAAAATGGAGTACAAAAGAAGTGAGAAATTCAGTGCAGTTAGTTTTGCAATCTAGAGAAATAAAATCATCACCTTTCACTAGTATAATCATCTGACACTTTTGATGAATCATACTTTTTCCACAAAAATGGCTCTAAAATGATCTGGAACTGCAGAAGACAAGTGAATCAGTTATACGGAGGAAATTTTGATAAAGATGTGTTTGTGCTGCAAAGCAATATCATTTGAACTAGAAATTACAAAAACTCGCTACCAAGAGAGAACTCCAGGGAATTCAGGTATCCTGGCAATGTTGCCCACTCGGCCACTCACAATCAGATACCAATTACACCTTCACCCCTCTCCCCCTGCCAAGACTCTTCCATTTTACATTTTTCAGTGCTGCCTAACTAACCGTCCAATACCCATCCACCCACCTACAGCCAGCTAATAACATATTACAAATACTACATGCATAAAAGTACTAAAGTACCCCAGCGCTACTTCCTTGCTCTTCCTTCTTTGAGCATATGTAAAACTCTCAGTTGACTTATCATCACTATCCTCCACCCTTACTTTGCAGTTTGCATAGATTGCACTAATTAGGAGAAAGAGATGACAAGAAATTTCTAGCTTGAACGTCATCATAAGTATAGAGATCACCATGGAGAACTGAAAGAGGAATATTTCGATTTTACAGGGTTATTTATCCTTATAAATAGCTTGATACAAGGACAACAGGATAAAGGCGCCATAACACCACAGAATAGTGGCTTTCAAGAAGAAACACCAGGAGACTTAAGTCATATGTCTTCAATCTTCTACCAAATATCGAACTTGTGCAAGTATACCTACATTTCTAAAACATCAATTCATAATTTATAACTGTGACATAAATTCGTTGAACAATAGTGGAAAACAAACCTTTGACTTTGCAGAGAGAATGTTGCTCTTGATCAGTGCAATGGGATTTGTAGGCACCTATTCTCGATAAATAAAACAAAGTACCAGAAAGATAAATAATGTAAAACAAAATCCATAGTAACATAGTATACCTCAATTAGTTATTAGAAGAACAAAAGCAAGGACTTACCAGTACTGGTACACCATTCCTCACAATATATCGTTTATTTTGAGAAATTGGCTGGATGAGGGGGGAAAGAATAAATCTACTTAGATATGCTCCGCGAGGTGTTTACCATGCACGTACACAAAGGAAAATTAAATTGTATCATACATAAAGAAAGAAATAACTATTACAAATTGTTGTTTCTCTCGAAGTCCAAGATCGTCAAGTAAGCACTGGACCGCTGGTTCACTTTCAGTCTGCATACTCAAGAAAATAGTACATCTAAATCAGCAGCAGAAATTTTGAGAAGGTTTACAGAAATTGAAAGTAACCCCTTGTGAAGAAGAATGCAAAATCGTCAACTTGCCATTGTATTGGCTCCTTCGTCCCAGATAAGACCCTCGTATGAGACGCTTCTTATCTTTCCTCCAGCTCTTTCATCAGCTTCAAGCACCGTGACATTGAAACCTTGTGACTTCAATTTGTAAGCTGCAGCAAGCCCACTTAACCATAAAGAATACAAAATCAATGTTAGCCTCACTGGAGGAGAAAAATTTTAATATGCAAACTTGGAATCTAAGGTTTTCTGCAAAAACATAATTTGAAAATAACACGACAATATTATTAACAAAGAACACGACTGGATACGAACTGGGGCTAGGGGAAGCCATTCAATCAAAATTAATTAAAAAAAGCACGTGGATTACAAACAAACTCAGGATGGGAGTTCTACCGCAAAGTACAAAATGTACTAGTTCACAAAAAGCATTGAAGGAAGTCTTTCTATCCCTAAAAGTTATTTGATTTCTTTCTATCCAAATATGCCACAATAAAGCTCTAGTTAAGCTCTAGTTTCAAAATCCTAAAGGATCTTAGCTTTGTCTTTGAACCACCATCCCATGAGAGTCTCAACCAATAAATCATCAAAGTAAAGAGACAAACCAAAAGAATTCAAAATGAAGGGCCACCTTCAAACCATAATAGAACACCGCAGGAATAGATGATCAACAGTTTATCCATCAAATTGACCAATTCTAAAGGATTTCAGCTTTATCTTTTCTAAGTCAACATTTATGTCCCTGAGGGATTATCCATTGAGTGGATGCTCACAGTCTCCAGTCGTGCATTGCATCCTTCAATTCATGCATCAGTTTTCTCATTGGATATTTCCACAATTTTAAGATTGATGATACGAGCAGACAATGAAGGTGGTGTGATATCAGTGGCAAAGATAGAATAGGAGTATGGCTATGGACCGAAAAGTAAGAATATCTAACTATCATCTGATTTGGCATATTTCTCTTGATCTATTTACCATCTAATAAAATTTGGGTTTCGCACTACTTATATGAATAATCATTTACACTGACAGTCCAGAAAAACGAATGTCACGCATATTGGAATTCCAGACCATTTAGTTAAGCGTGTGTAGCCAATTTTCTTTTTACCAACAAAATTACCGGCCAGAGGAAAGGAAGAACCTCGCAAACCAAGTCTGGAAAAGAATGTGGAAGGCATTCGTCCAAATGGACTAGGGTTAATTAAGAGAGAATGAGTTTAAATCCCATGATGGCCACGGAATTAGTAATTCCTATGTGTTTTCCGGCACCTAGGGTCAAGCGATTGTCCCGTGAGATTAGTCGAGGTGCGTGTAAGCTGGTCCGGACACTCACGGATATAAAAAAACAAATGTGGAAGTTAAACAAGGAAGAAGAGTATCGAGAGGGATAAGAGAAACACACAATCTTCTCAATTTGGCATAATAACACAATTAAGATTAAATTTAAAACCAAATCCTGAATTATCAGTGGAAATTACTAATCTCAACCCATCAGACATCAATAATGCATACTAATTAAACATAATATTATAAACTTAAATTAAACGTAATCGTCGCATAGTACAAGTAAACCATCGAACCACAAATACCATAATTCTAAATTTGGTACATAAATTTTAATCCCGCGCCTCATCAGTAACAGTAACAACACCGTTGTATAGAAAGAAGCTAGAAAATCTAGAAACAGCATACCTAACACCAGCGCCAACAACAGCCACCGTTCTTCTGGAGGCTACAACATCAAAGAAGATGCAAAGAATTACGATATCTCGAGCAAATTTTAGCTCGAAAAGGTAAGCATAATCCACATAGCAACAGAAATGGCTAAAAATATATTTAAGAAACTTACTACAGGTAATTCAAGGAGAAAACTAAAACTAGTGCAGACTCGTATAGCAAGAAAGTCACTGATATTTACATTGTGAAGACTTCATAGTACAATCCAATTACAGAATGATGATAATTTCAGAGTGATTAGTTGCCTCGATGATTAATGCAATCAAGTAAGAATGTGTTTAGAAATAGAGAGAGATACTTCGCTGGTCTTGTTTGGTTGGCGGGGCCATTTCCGTGTAGCTTGGTTAAGCTGGATGCTCTGTCAACGTTCTTCTTCCTTAGAATCCTCCATTGGAGACGTGGGATACCATAAAGAGATAAATGTTCAAACCACCGAAACAGAAAATTCTGCCGGTTTTGTTTAATGGGCCATTGGCGTCCGTAATAATAATGGGCCTGCTCATCCATCAGATCCTCTATATTCATATATCAAAAATAAAATATTACAATTGTGTAATAATTTAATGAGTAAAAGTTAATTAGTGAATTATTTATAATTGATTAATAAAATTTTAATTTAGATAAATTGTTAATATATTGATCAACTGGATCTAATTCATTACTAGGTACTTTTGAGAATTTCAGTGCTCAAACTGTTTTTTTTTTCTTAATTGTTATGTTATCATTTAAGGTTCATTGTTGATGAAATATTTTTAACCATGATTATTTGGTTTTTTTTAATAAGTTTATTTCCTTCCAATTTTTTGTCAAACCTATTTTTAAAATTTGACTAAATCAATTGAAAATTTTTTTAATGGTTTTTAAAAACAAAATAAATAAGTTATGAACGAACTAAAATTAAAAATTTTAATAAAAATATAAACAAAAAATTAAATGTTTGCCTAAATTATTGAAAATGTGATCATAATTCATTGATTATGAGTGTTCAGTGAATTAAACCGGGGGTAATTATTGAATAAGTAATAAGTTATTGATAATAACTTCTATAATTATTGTTGTCCAAAAAAATAAAACTTTGCTCTCTTATTTTACTTGCCTTATTAAAATATAACTTTTATTGTTAAAATAATTTCACAACATAATTCTTTACAAATTTCGGTAAATACTAAGGATTATTTTATAAAGTGTTTTAAATATAAACAATGTGGTATGTAGGCGTGATTTAGTTTCTTTAGTATACCAATATGACTAAAGGAATCTAGATAATCTTTAGATCCATCTAACCCTTGAAAATCTTTAGAAAGAAAAACCAAACTCTTAAAAATGTTGCTAATCCAAGATCCAAGGTGACTCTCTTTACAAATAAGATCGGAAGAGACCGTAGATGCGAAATAGATTACAAAACCTTAATTATAATTAAGCTTAACTAAATTTATTATATTGTCTAATTTAAGTATCAAGTGTATATTATGTATGCAAATGTTGTTCCTACCCGGTTAAAATATAATTTGAATACACAAAGGAAAGGATGAAGGGAATGAATAATGAAAGGTGAAAAAAAGACAAAAGAAGTAAGAATTTGAAACTACTCCATCAAAAGAATAGCTTATTTGATCTTTGTTTTCTGGTTGTTACAACAATCGATATAATTTTGAGTTGACAATATGCGTGGTTTTGAGCCAATTTCAAGCAATCAAGATTTTATTTTCCTTACCAATATGTTTGATTAATTCTGCTAATTTTGAATTTGTTTTCCAATTGTTTCCTTAATTTGTGAGGTACGAAAACTAAAAAATTGAATGCATCTACTTCATGAGTAATTTCAAACGACAATCAAGAAAGTTTGAAATCTAAATATTTGGGTTTGATTCATATATTTTACCGTGTTCTTCCAAACATCATAAATTTATTGTTCATTTCAAAAAAAAAAAAATCATGAATTTATTGTTATTTTTAGAAAACTATGTGTTTATTTAAGTGGTTGATAGTCATATTTAAGATTTTCTTATAGTTCCATCACTTATAAATGAGTCTTATCTAGTTCCATATTATTTGTGACTAGAAAAATATACTTCATTTTAAATTGAAATTTATCTTAATTATTATTTTTAAAAGTTCCACAAACATTTTTATATGGGCATACAACATATTTTTATATAGTTTTAAGTAGGCTAAAATAAAATAAATGATGAGATACATTTTTAACTCCAAATTCGAAAATCAAAAGTATAATTTACATTTTAATAATTTGAAGTTTTTTTTTCTTTTTGATACAACTACCTGTGATAGTGGAGATTTGAACTCACAACCCTTCAGTTTAGAAATCCGAAGCCTTAAATCACCGAGTAGTCAAATAACCTATCTACTCATTTATCTATCACTGTAGTTTATTACACCCAACCAAATAAAAAGCATATAGATTTCATTATCCTACAAGAAACAATGATTTTTGGCCTTATACATAGTTTGAGCTCTTTCTCTAAGCTTTGGACATAACCCTCGTCTCATTATTTGGTATCATTTGTCACTTGGTTTTGCCGTCACCTTATTTTTTCCTAATGTCATTACTTGTTCTTGCCACTTTCCCTCCTTAGAGCCCACGCTATATTGGGTTTTTTTTTTTYTTTTTTGCCTAATATGATTAAAGAAGAAGGAAAAACATAGCATATACTTTGAGAGGAAAAAATACAAAAATTGTTCAAAAGCCCCTCTCCCTTTTAACAAATAAACAAACACAATAATTTACCTGAAAACCTAGAAATTAGATAAAAACAACGGGCCACCTGAAAAAAATTACTTCGTGAAAAATGTTATAATCGCACAAAATTCTCTCATCGACCTCAATTACAAAAAAACACTCTCTCAAAACTTTATAGTTTATACCACTTACAAAACTAGAATTAGTGTATCATGCCTAAAGTATTTTTAATTGGGGAGATGAATAAAACTCGAAATTAGTCCTTAATAAACCTGATTTTTATTAGAATTAAGAATATTGTAGTCATCAACCTTCTCATTATTGATATACTAAGGTTTTTTCTAATGAAACAAAAAGTATCATATCCAAAGATATGGACATGAACGATATCATATTATCAGGGTAAATTTTGATTAAAAAAATATTATATTAATTTTGTCATTATTTTGTGAACCGCCCTATTGATTTCAACTATTATTTTTAGACGTACTCTGTTTTTGTAAAAATATTGCTACGTGGTTATGAAAGATGAAAAGGAAAAAATAAAAAATATTATTTGCTTGAGTTGGACGGCATTAAAGTGGCCCTACTATGTAAACGAAAGTTAATTTTCTATCATTGTTTGAATGGCATTGCCTCGCTCTTGTTTTCTGTGGTTTTATATTTCAAATTCAAACTTATTGCTGCAAAATTTTTATTTTTATATTTCATTACTTTTATGGTTAAAATTTTAATTTCATATATTCAATTTTCAACTTGATTAGAAAGTGAAATTAATATGCGAACATCAGTATAATTTAGCAGTAGTTAAAGCAGCTTACGCCTTTCTTAGATTTCAAACATTTTTTGGCTAAGAAAATTTATTTGGCATAATAATTTTAAAAGGTTAAATTGGACGAAGTTAAATAATGGCAGAGGGAAAGGAGGAGTTTGAAACTTGAAAAGCTTTTGTCTTTTTGTCTTTGGTTGAGTTGAAGAGAAGGCTTTGGCTGGACCGCTCTCTGCAATTTGAATTGTATTAATGGAGACAGGCGGTTGCCACTTACACAATGTGGGGTTAAAATAAGAAACTTCAAATTCTTCAATCCTTTGTCTCCTCTTCCACTTTACTTTTCCCATCATTTTTCATCAACCAATTTATGAATCAAACTTATCCCTCCCTTTCCTTTAAATGAAGTGAAGTGTTCTAATAATTCAAATTTATTCTGCTTAATTTTATAATAATATAGATCGTTGTACAACTATGTTTTAGTTTGACCTAATAATTCTCTATGTCAGTGGACACATTATTATATGTTGTAAATTTTTAAAAAAATATATCTCCTACACTCAAAAGACAAGAAATTCTTACTCATGTCTCAATATAGTTTATTTTTAGAGGTTAAGAATATTACTTATATCAATCTATTTTCAAATGCAATAAAAATATAGGTTCAATACTATCATTTCTTGGGTTCTACTTTCAACTCGTGCTTGTTTTAGTATTTGTACTTTCAAGTGTCAATTTTAATTTTGGTACTTTTAAGAGTGGTCATTTTGATCCATGTTTGTAAAATTTTAACATAATTTTTATACCGAACAAAAATTTAATACATAGTTATGACTCCATTTGAATCAATTTATTAAGTGTAGTGTCGTTGAAATTATTATTATTTTTTTAAGATGAAAAATAAAATGAAGAGACTAACACAATTAACATTTTTAAAACTAAGATTGTAATTTATCATTTTTAGAATGAATATTAATAATAAGGATGTGTGTTGGAGTGATTTTAGTATAATCAAAACTACTTTTCCACTATCAAAACCACTCCGGTTTCAATGGTTATGTTTGACAAATAAAAAATTGATTTTAGAAAAATTTAAAATTATCTTAAATTAATTTGTAATATATCACTTGGATAATATAATTAAATATTTTTTTTCAAAAACACAACCTAATAATAATAATAATAATAAACAGTTGGTAATCGGTTTCGAAAGTGGAAGACACTGGTGGGGCCGCGTTGGGACTTAAATTGGTTGATGCCAATTGCCAACTAAAAGAAAAAGAAATGGTGTTTGGAATTTGGATGGTCGGAAACGCCGCCGTTTAAAGAATTAATCTGAAAGGTAGGCCAAAATGATTGGATACTTGTGAAGAAACAAGTCAATGACGATATGTTTAGGACGAGAGTCAAATCATATTCATAGTCAATTCAATTCTCTGCATCTTATTTTTATTTTGTATCCACGTTGTCTTTTAATCTTATAATATAACATTTTATTGGATATTCCAATTTTTCTTCTATAAAATGTAATAGTTAAAATATATTTAAATTTACATAAATTTTAATATTAATTTTAAATAATGTATAAATAATTATTGAAGGTTTAAGTTAAAGATATAAAGTGATTTTTGCTAGAGGTTCAAATCTCCCCCTCGCCTATTATTAATTAATTTAAAGTAATAATAATTATTATTATTAGATTTTTCTTTTTCTCGTTTGACATTACAGTGGGATAAAGACAAAAATGAACTTAGACAATAAAATTAACAACTTCATCGTCAGATAATCGTGAAAAGATCTATCTAAAGTTGCCTCCTCCAACCACACACGGCGATGTCTTCCTCTATTTATAGTGAGTAAACTTCACCTCCCTTAAATGTTTTGAGAGATTAATAATTTCTTATGATGAAATCTAGTTGGGATTTCGATCTTTCTTATTGGATCGAATAAGGGAGAAAATGTGCAAGGTATAGTCTCT